TAAAGTCTATTTTGTCTGATATGAGTACTGCTACCCCAGCTTTCTTTTCATTGCCATTTGCGTGGAGTATCTTTTTCCATCCCTTCACTTTCAGTTTGTAAAAATATGGAACGCTTCACGAATTTGCTTGTCATCCTTGCGCAGGGGCCATGCTAATCTTCTCTGTATCGTTCCAATTTTAGTATATGTGCTGCCGAAGCGAGCACCCTTTATTTTCTTTTCAGTGTCCATGGAATCAGTAGTGATTTGTCCCTTTTTCATTTCTGCTATTAGTAATTTGTGTCTTTTCTTTTTCCTTCTCAATTAACTTTGCCAGAGGTTCACCAATTTTCTTGATCTGTTCAAAAAAAACATCTTTTGGTTTTGTTGATTTTTCTCTGTTGATTTCCTGTTTTCAATGTCATGGATTTCTGCTCTAATTTTTATTATTTCTTTACTTCTGCTTCCTTTGGGTTTAATTTGTTCCTCTTTTAGTAGTTTCATAAGGTAGAAGTTAGATTATTGATTTTAGCTCTTCCTTCTTTTCCAATATATGCATTCAATGCTATATATTTTCTTCTAACCATTGCTTTTGCTATACCCCACAAATTTGTATAAGTTATATTTTTATTTTCCTTTGGTTTGAAATATTTTTAAATTTCTCTTAAGATTTCTTTTTTGAATCACATGTTATTCAGAAGTGTGTTATTTAATCTCCAAATATTTTGGGATTTTTCAGATATCTTACTGTTATTGCTTTCTAGTTTAATTTCATTGTGGTCTGAGAGCAGATTTTGCATGATTTCTATTCTTCTAAATTTATTAAGTTATGCCCTATGGCCCAAAATGTGTTCTATTTTAGTGAATGTTCTGTATGAGCTTGAGAAGAATGTGTATCCTGCTGTTGTCGGATGAAGTAGTCTATAAATGTCAATTAGATCCAGTTGATTAATGGTCCTGTTCAGTTCAATTATATCCTTACTGATTTTTGCCCGTTGCCTCTGTCAATTACTGATAGAAGGATGTTGAGGTCTCCAGCAAGAATAGTGGATTCATCTCCTTGCAGTTCTGTCAATTTTTGCCTCACCTATTTTTGATGCTTTTTTGTTGGATGCATATCTGTGAAACACTGTGGTATCTTCTTGAAGAATTAATCCTTCTGTGTAATGGAACTCATTATCTCTGATAATTTTCCTTGATCTGAAGTCTGCTTTGTTTGAAATGAATAGAGCTACTCCAGCTTTTTTAAAATTCATTTTAGCATAGTATATCTTTCCCTATTCCTTTATTTTTAATCTGTATCTGTCTTTATGTTTAAAGTGGATTTCTTGTAGACAATATATAATTGAGTCTCATTTTTCAATACACTCTAACAGTCTATGTCTTTTAATTGGTATATTTATACCATTGATATTTAATGTGGTTATTAATATAGTTGGATTAATATCTACCATATTTGTTAACTGTTCTGTATTCATTTCCTTGTTCTTTGTTTCTCTTTTTGTCTTCTACTATTTTTCTGCCTTCTCTGAGTTTAACTGAGTGTATTGTATGATTCCATTTTTTTCTCTTCTGTTAGCATATCAATTATACTTTTTTTAAAACATTTTTTAGTGGTTACCTTTGCATTTGCAACATACATTTACAACTTATACAAGTCCCCTTTCAAATAACACTATACCACTACACAGGTAGTGCGAGTACCTTATAACAGAGTACCTTATAACATTGTTGTCATGTCATTCATTTCAATTATCCATAAGCTATATCACTGAATACATTGTTGCTGTTATTCTGAACTTTTACCTATTGGATCAATTAAGAATAAGTCCTTTAATACTCTTCCTTTCTTTATGTAGATCTGAGTTATTGACCTATAACTTTCTCTATGAAGAACTTCTTTTAACGTCTCTTGCAAGGCAAGTCTACTAGTGACAATTTTCCTTGATGTTTCTTTATCTGAGAAAGTCTTTATTTCTCCCTCACTTTTGAAAGATAATTTTGACTGGTATACTTTTATTTTAACACTTAAAATATTTCACTTCACTCTCTTCTTGTTTGCATGGTTTCTGAAGAGAAGTGTGATGTAATTCTTATCCTTGCTCCTCCTATGGTAAGGTGTTTTTTTCTTCTGGCCTCTATCAAGATTTTTCTCTTTGTCTTTTATTATGTTTAGTTTGAATATGATATGCCTTGGTGTAGATCTTTTTGATATGTATCCTGCTTTGTGTTTTCTGAGCTTCTTGGATCTGTGGATTGGTGTTTGTCATTAGTTTTGGGAAATTCTCAGTCATTGCTTCAGACATTTCTGCTGTTCCTTTTTCTCTTTCTTTTCCTTCTGGTATTTCCATTACATGTATGTTACACCTTTTGTTATTGGTCCCACAGTTCTTGAATATTCTGTTCTGTCTTTTTCATTCTTCTTCTTTTTGCATTTCACTTTTGGATGTTTCTGTTGACATTTCTTCAAGCTCACTGATTATTTTCTCAGCTATAACCAGTCCATTGATGAAGCCATCAAAGGAATTCTTCATTTCTGTGATGGTGTTTTTGATTTCTAGAATTTCCTTTTGGTTCTTTCTTAAGGCTTCTCTTTGCTTACATTATCCATCTTCTCTTTTATGTTGTCCACTTTATCCATTACAATCCTTAGTGTATTAATCATAGTTGTTTTAAATTCCCAGTCTGATTATTCCAAGATCTCTGCCATATCTGAGTCTGGTTCTGATGCTTACTATGTCTCTTCAAACTGTGTTTCTTGTACTTTAGTATGTCTTGTAAATTTTTGTTGCAAGCCAGACATGATGTAATGAGTAAAAGGAACTGCAGTAAATAGGCCTTTAGTGTGAGATTTTCTTTATCTGGCTGGGGGTTAGCCTGTGTTTATTGTTTGCTGTGACTGTTAAGTGACAGAGGCTAAACTTACCTCTGGTGTCCCTGTTTTTATTTCTCCTGTTGTCTTTGGTTTTCCCTAGAGACTTCTTAAGTATTGTCTGAGAAGCATGGTTCTTTTAGTCATATCCCACTGTTGTTATCCAGGAGGCCTTGATGTGGTGGTAAGGTGTGAGGGAAGAGATAGCATTCTACAGTCCTATAATTATGTCTCAGTCTTTTAGTGAGCCTGTACCCCTGGCCTGTGACCTTAACAAGTGCTTCTCAGTTTTATTTTGGTTTCCCCCTTAGAAGAGACAGAAAGTCAAGCCAGGTCTGAAGTTGGGTATTTCCTTTTCCTAGATCAGTTAAGCTCGGGTAAAACCCCAGTACATTAGGGTCTGGTAAAATAGTTTCTCTTGAGGGCAGGCCTTGTTAAGAAGAATGAAATGTTCCGTGCATATTTTTTAAAAGGCTACATTTCTGCTCTCCCTCTCTAAAGGATGGAAACCTGAGGGAATTTTTCTCAGATCTTCTTTGTGAGAACCTGATAAAGTGCTTGGAAGTAGAACTCACAAAAGTGTGAGGGTCCCCCTAGGCCTGGGCCCTCTTAGAATTTTTAACTCTCAAACTTGTCCACACTGAGCCTCTAGCAATTGTCAATTACAGATTAGGTTTTCCTAACCTTATACTGGTTCCCAAGGAGTTTTCTGCTCCTGGGCTTCTGCTCTAGTTAGTTTTGATTCTCTGTATCTTCCTGTCTATCTCTTCCATTTTGGGGACCGTAGTTTGCCCTATGACCTCAGTTTTTTGAAGGATTTAAGAGGAGTAGATTTTCAGTTTGTTCCACTTTTTTCTTGTTGTGCGGATGGAAGAGATGACTTTCAACCTCCTTATGTGCTTGACTGGAATGCAAGGGAATTTTTGAGACATTGAAGACATGTTTGTTATAAAGTTTTCATCTCTTAAAAACTGGTTAGAGTAATTATCTTTTCATTAATACACTTTATTTATCTTTTAAAAGGGTAAAAAGTAAGATGTTTTGGGACATTAACTTTTTTCTTATTTTCTTTTCTCAAATAGATCCTAAATGCCCAGGAGATGTTGATTTTCATAATAGTGATTGGGACATTAAGACAATCACCAGCTCCTTGAAATTCTACCTCAGGTATGCCTGATATGATTTGGGACTTTACTTTTCATAGTCAATGAAATGTGTCTAGGTGGAGATTGAAGTTATTGTGGTCCCAGTTTCAGGAAGTAGGATAGAAAGAAAAAAAAAGAATGAAAAGGATTTCTGTCAAAGAAGAATGTACATTAGGAGACTTTTAAAAAAAATCTGGGAATTTAAGCAAGGGAAGCATCAAAATAATAGAATTATTATTGAAAAATGACTCTTTTTGGAAAAAAAAGATTATTTTAAAAATCATACCCTTAAAATAATTGAAGTTTTGACATTGTGCACAGATAGAGTGATGTCACAATGGGCTCACTAGTAAAATCAGAAGTTGTGACAGTTCAAGGTTGTTAACATGTTTTGGTGGATAATAACCATTTTGAAACATTAAATTGCATTTATGCAAACATAATGTGTTTGTGTGATGTGTTACATCTTATGCCTTAGTCAATATAATGGAAATAAAAACCAAGAAAATACAACCATAAAAATATTGGAACTGAATAAAGTGGCAGAGTAGGAAAAAAAAATTAACTTAGCAAAATTTAGGGATGCACAATGCTGATGAATATATCATTCAGTTTACTGGCATAAGTTTATATTATGTAAAAATATTTGTGACATATATACATTTTAAACTCATTAATTTCTTACCATTCTTTATGTCCCATAGTATGCACCATACTTTATTGTGCTAAAATGTCTTCTTTTCCGTTATCATACTCTTTAGAAATTAAGATAGCTACTTAAGCTCTGGGAAATATCATTAATCCAAAATAGTTTGGGTCCCAAATATTGCTGTTAAATGACCTTCTGCTGTTGTATCATCATAGAACTTTATATAAACATGAATGCTCTTTTCAGGGGCATTTCTCTTGTATCTGCCAAGGAAGAAAGGTAGTGTTGGTAGAGGGTTTATTCTGTGCTAGACAGTGTTCTAGTTGCTTACATTGACAATATCATTGTTTTTTTCTCACAATAACCCTGTAAGGTGGGTGGTGCTATACTCATTTCACAGATGAGGAACTTGAAGTGCGCCCCTCCCCCATTAGGTAATATCCATGGTCTTAGCTCATATTATTTAAATCTAAGTATCTGACTTGTAAGGCCACTGATATTGGAGCATCTTCTTCCCCTATTCCCCACCCCCAGGGACTGTGGCCTTTTTGGAGTTGCTTGGGTAATGTAGTAAAGACAGCAATCTGCTATGCATACTTTCAGAAGACTTGAGATGATAAGAGTAGTGAGAGTAAATGATTCTATATCTCAGCCTCTTTCAAAAGAGTCAATTTTTTCAGAGATTTATATAGGTTAAGTTCCTCTCCACATTACATTTTTCCCAGGTTATCCCATAATAAGCAGTGTGGCCCTTTTGAAATTTGGGAATATCGAGCCTGAAAGTGTGAGTGGACAGCACACCCAATAAAAGATATTTATCCTCAAGACTCTTACCCATGAGCCTTTAATATGTACCAGCCAGTCAACACCCTTTAGATTTCTCAAAGATATCACTATTTTCAGAGTGGGCCTCCTCCACTTGTGTTCTAGGACCTAACTCAACCCTTATTTCCAACATTTCCAGAAAAGTACTCTAAAAACCATCCCTTCTCTCTCCTGTATCTCTCATTCAACTGGCTCTTTTGGTTTAGCATATAAATATGCATCAGCAATGCACATCTCCTTGACCTTGTGTCTTCTTTCATTCATTTATTCCACCATTCACTAAGTCATTCAATAAACATTTCCTGAGTGCCTACTCTATGCCGAGCATGATGCTAGGTAGTAGGCATACATGTGTGAGTAGATATGATCTCTGACCTTAAAAAGGTTATAGTCCAGTGAGGAGGACAGAGAAAATACAAATAATCATACAAAGATAACAAACAGTAATAAGTGCTCTGAAGGAAAGGTACAAGGTGCTATGAAGGCATATAACAGGAAGACCTGATTTATTCTGGTTGTTTGTTTGAACTGAGGTTTGAATTGTAACCTGGAGTCAACTGGGTCAGGGGGAGAAACAGTTCCAGACAGAGAGAACTGCATATGCAAAGGCCTTGAAGCAAGAGGAAGGAAGACCTCTTCAAGAAAATACATGTACCAGTATAGATGGAGTATTGAGTTTAGAGAAGGAGGGAGAGATATGTAGGGGCCAAATTATGCAAGGCCTTATAGGACATTTTAAAATTGGAGTCTGGATTTACCTTATAAGGAAAGGGAATATATTGAAAGGTTTTAAGCAGAAGGTTATATGATATTTGCATTTTGAAAAAATGTAGAGAGATAAAATTAGAGGGAGGCAAAATAAGTAGAGGTGGAAACCAATTAGCTGGCTATTGTTGTAGTCCAGGAAAAAGATGATGCTCCTGCTTGGGCTAGGGAGTAGCAGTGGAGATCAGCAGAAATAAGCATATTCAAGAGATTTAGGGAGTAAAATTGGATATGAGAATGAGGGAGAGGAATATAAAAGAATGATTTCCAAGTTTCTGGCCTATACAACCAAATGATGGTCATGTTTTTACTGATTTGGGAAACACAAGAAAAAGACTAGATTTGAGGGAGATGACGAGTTAGGTTTTGGATATGTCCAATTTGGGTGTCTTTGAAGAAATTAGGGCAAGTTGTTAAGTAGGCAATTGGATATGTAGGAAATATATAGGAATGAAACTCAGAGGAGAGTTCTGGGCTGGAGCTAAAAATTGAGAATCATTGACAATATAGATGATAACTGGAGGCAGGAGCTTAGATGAGATTGCCTAATGAGAGTGATACTTCACCCCTTCCCAACCAAGCTTCAGTATATGAAGTAATATACACTCCCTGTCTCTACTTCTTAACCTCCCAGTTTACTCTTTAACCCACTGCAGTATGACTCTCACCCCTTCTGCTCCACTGAAGCTGCTCTTGCCAAGGTCACCAGTGACTCCCTCAATGCTGTATACAACCAACAGTCGTCAGTCTTTACCTTACTTGACCTCTTTGTAGCATTTGAAGCTGTTAACAAGTCCTCCTTGAAACTTTCTGATCTTGTGGGTTCTTCTGCCTCACTTGCTTTTGGATTTCTCTCACCTCTTTGATCATTTTTAGCAGTCCCATTTATGGACTTTCTACCTGGTACTTCCCAGGGCTCTCCTCTCTTTTTGTTACACGGGAGGTATGGAAGATTCAAATATCCACAGGGGCCAGGACATGAAAATTAGTGAAGTAGACTACTTTCATATTAAACATGTTGCATATTACACCTTTATTTGCATAGCAATGCCTTTGTTTATTTATAAACAGCAATATTCTTTACTTCCACAAATAACCATATGGGCCCAATATAGCTAGGTCTTTCAATTTTTCAATAGAGGTGGAAAATACAGATTTTTGAGTGAAATATCTCAATTTTTCATATTCTGATGACTGATTCAATTCCATTTCTTTTTTTATACACTATTCTGGACAAATAAGAAATGTTGGAAGGCCTCATGTAGCTATTGGCTGCCAGTTTGCCATCTCTCCTTGAGCAGTGGTATCTGTATTCATGATTTTAACTACCTTCCTAAATTCGTGATTTCAGTATCTACTTCTCAGATCTAGAAGGTCACTCCACCCATCTTTCTTTTTTTTTTTTAATTTTTTTGTATATATAAAGCAATTATTAACAGACATAAAAACAGAAATCCACCCATCTTTCTACTAGACATTTCCATTTGGCTATCCCAGCAGCCCCTCTGACTTAGCATCTCCACTTCCTTTTGAATCAATTTCTATTCTATCTAGTCACCCAAACCAGATTACTCTCTCCCTCACCAACTTACCCAATCATTAGAGGAGTTCTCTTTTTATTCTCTTTCAAATAACTTTCCTCACCTTTGTTTTTCTAACCCTAATGTCACTATTTTTGTTTAGGCCTTTATTATCTCTCACCTGGGTTACTACGATAATAACACTGGTGAGCAGTATAGCATGGTGATTAATAGCATGGACTTGTGACAGACTGCCTAGTTCTGCCACTTACTAGATGTGTGGTCTTTGATGAATTATTTAATTTCTCTGAACCTCAGTTTCCTCATTACAAAATGAAGATAATAACAATATCTACCTTACAGGGTTGTCCTGAAGATTAAATGAGTAAATATATGTAAATGACATAGAACACTGAAGAGTTTGCTATTATTATTAGTGGATTACTTCCTTCCTCTGAGCCACCCATCAGCTACCTTTATTTTATCATCACATTTGTCCCTTGCATTGCAAATTTTGTACATGGCACTCTCCTCAACTAGACTATTTAGCTCCTTGGAGGTTTGGGCTATGTCTTATTAATCTCTGGATCCCCAATACCTGGCATAATGTCAGGCACAAGTAGGTGCTCAGCAAATATTTTTTGAATAAATAAAGAAAACTATTTGAGCCTCAGTTTCTTCCTCCATTAAACAGAGGTTTTAATAACTGCTCCAGCTCACAGGATCATTGGAAGGATCAAATGGGAGAACAGATGTGAAAGCACTTCAGAAACTCAGGAGTTATCAGACTGTAAGGACTTCATAATAGCATTCAGACTGGGTCCACTTTGGAATTAGGACTGGTTTGTGCCTCTTTTCACATTGGGGAACTAATTGGAGACCTTGCTTGAGGTCTCCGCCCATACCTTTGTAGGTCTTCTGTTGAATTACTAGCAACCAGGATTCCTCTGACAAAGTTTCAGGTGAAGAGATAAATGTATGTAGTCACACTAAGCTGTGGGGCTCAGAAACTTTGGTTTTGCTACCCACAGAACTGAGAATCTAAGGCCTGGCTATTCCCTCACCAAAGGAACTTACAGTCTTCATTAATTTCAGGAATCTTTCTGAACCTGTCATGACTTATAGACTTCACAAAGAGCTGGTCTCTGCTGCCAGTAAGTATTTATGTTACTAGGTAATTGTGTTGTCCTGGCTTCTTAATAATATTTACAGCAATAAGCCTAGAAAACTGCTTGTGGGAAAGTAATTGAGGGAAAAAACAAAACACATATGCAGATTTTGTCCATTGCCAAATAAGTATATTCTTGCTTACTGTCTAACTCAAGTGTTGTATTATTTTTCATAAATCAATGTTAGTTGAGTGGGTTGGAGAAAACTGGGTAACTTGAGGGATTTGACAGGTGTGCTGACTTTATTGATTGAGTGTACTTCTTCCATCAGAACAAGAGCATAGGCTCACATTACAAGGGAACAGGAAAATGGTTCCATTACAGTTGCTGTTTCAGCTTTTTTTTTTTACCACTTTGCCTTTTCAAATGCTTTTCAATTGTGTTGTGAATCATTACTGCTAATCTGTTAGTAGTAGCGTCACATTTTCTAGATTATAAAACTAAATGTGAGGGTGGAGGGGTGCATGGGAAATAAGTCATATAGAATCACCCCAAAAGTTGGCAGCTGAAGAATTATTAAAAGTTTTGGCTGAGGCCGCTGTATGATATCCCTCCCTACCTCGATGTGATCCTTCTCCTTTATCATGCCCTATGTGGTATGTGAGAAAAAGATTCAGGGGACTTGTCCTCATAATGAATCTTTGTTGAGGCAGGTGACCTTTGATCTTTACTCTGAGCTCTCGCAGTGATTTTCACAGGAACGCAGAAGCAGCGGGATACCTCCCAGTACCACAAGGAAGGTGGGTGGGCAAGGGTTTCCAGCTGGAATTATACATGTGGAACTTGAGGAGCAGCCCACCGCACCCAGAATTTGACTTCCTCTGAGACAGTCTTGTCTTCTCATCTTTCTCTTCTCTTCTCTCTTCTGTTTTCTTCATCTTTCTATTGTTTTCATCTGTCTTTTTCCTTTTCGTCTCTCTTTCTCTCTCTTTATCTCTGTCTTTGTTTCTTGGTCTCTACCACTGTGTCTCTGTACTTATTTATCTCCCTGTCTCTTTTTATCTCTCTGACTCTCTGTGTCTCTGATTGTCTATTTCTGTGTGTGTGTGCGTGTGTGTGTGTGTGTGTATGAGAGTTTGCTTGATCCAATTGCCCAGAAGGCAAACTGTCTCTCTCTCTGTTCTCTCTCAGAGTCTGATAACCTGGATTACCGGCTGGGAGCTATTCACTCCCTGGTATATAAGCTACCAGAAAAGAACCGAGAGATGCTGGAACTTCTTATAAGACACTTGGTCAAGTAAGTAATTTCTGGGTTTTCAGGAATAGTTCCTATTAGAGGACTGTCCCATGTGGTGGCACTGAAGAGAAACTGCCTGTCAGCTCGTTAAGTCCCAGCCCCTAACTGCTTCATTCTGGGCAGGCTGAATACTCTGTGAGGAAGATAATTTTGCCTTGACCCTTGTGTAAATCCTCACAGAGTCATTACATATCTCATTTGAGAGGTTGTCTCAGTTGAGGGGTAACACCAGGTAGAGTGGGCTGAACACAGGCTTTGCTGTCAGATAAACATGGTTTTTAATCCCAGCTCTACCACATATTTAGCTGTATAATCTTACAAAAACCTCTCTTAGCCTCTGTTTTGTCATCTGTAAAATGATAATAGTATTGCCTATCACACAGAACTGTTGTATGGATTTGAATGAACACAGATAAAGTGCATGGATATAGGAGGTTCTAAAGAAATGGGAGTTATTGTTAAGGTTATGGTCAACTTCCCCCTTGGGTGTGGAAAGCAGGAACAGACAGCAGCATTCCAGGGAGTAGGCCTGGTGAGGGGCTCCAAGATGTGTGGGTGTAAAGGGCATGTGTGTCCCACTGTAGTGCTTCCTGGCCAGAGGGTTCAATGTTGTGAATAAAGATGAATTTATTTGACTTATAAAAGACCAGATCTGCTTCTTAGGAAGCAGTATGGTGCAGCAGACACCACTTTGCCCTGGAGTCAGCAAACCTGGGTTCTAGTTTCAGTTCTTTTACTAGCTTTCTTGATGACCATGGGCAGGCCACTCCTGGTATACAAAAAAGTAAAGAAATGAAACGACAAGCTTAGAAAAATTGTGATGCATTTTAAGTGTTTCTATTTAACAAAATAAATCTATCAGCACCCTCACAAAAATGCAGTTATGATATATTTTAACCTCATTCGGAGAGGATCTCAAACACCTAAAATTGAGGCTCTTAGTGAAGGTGAGGCTCCAGGCTAATTGGCCCTCTTGCTCTCCCCCTGTGATAAATCCTGATCACTCTGCATCTCTGGACCTCAGGTTCCCCTATGATATAATGAGATATCTCCAAGATCTGATCCAGCTCTGACATTCTAAGTTTTTAAAATATGTTTTTACACTTTTCTAGCAAATGAGCATTATAGACACTAATGTAGATAAATAGGCAGAATTAACAAGAGGATGGCTTTTATATTTATTGCCAATGTTTGCAATTTGGGCTAATAGAGAACATTAAGAGACATTTTTCTTCCCAAATATTTGTTTGTGATCCAACTCTATTACTAATTTGCTGTGTGACCTAAAGTCAGTCCCTCCCACTCTCTGTGCCTCAGTTTGTTCATCTATAATATGAAGGGAATGGACTGGATAATCTCGAAAGGTTCTTCTTCCAGCTATGATTTTCTAAGTCTCAATATGTGAAAGGAGCCAAGGACTCAGTTGAAGATTTTCCTTCTAGTAGTTAGTGAGAGACACCTGCTTCCATCCACCGGAAGGCTGGCCACCTGCCTTAGTTCAAGAATCTTCATCCTCAAAATCCCTAGAACAAAAAGGAGGAAGAGACATGAACACACAGGACACAGAAATAGAAAGGTGAATAGCCTTAAATACATGAAAAACTGCTCAAGTTCACTCATAATAAGAAAAAAAGCAAATTAAACCTACACTGAGATACCATTTATTGGGAAATCCTAAGGCTTGACAACATTCTCTGTTGATGAGCCTTTGGGGCAACAGGTACTCTGATACACTGCTGGGGTTAATGTAGTACAGACCAAGAGGAGGGGAATTTGGCAATATCTAATAAATCTGCATATTCAGTTACCTTTTGACCCAGCAATTTCACTTTTAAGCATCTACTCTGAAGACACATCTCCACAAATACGAAACAACATATGCATGAGATTTGTCACTGCAGCATAATTTTTAATATCAAAATATTGGAAACAACACAAATGTCCAACAATAGGGAACTAGTTGAGTAAATAATGGTATATTCCAACAATATAGTATTATACCATCATCAAAAAGAGTGAGGAAAATATCTATGAACTTTGTTTTCGTAGTGATTTCTAGGATGCATTACAAATTTCCAGGATGTAAAACAGACAGCAACAACAACAAAAATCCAAGTGTAAAACAAGGTACATAATATGCTCCCTTTTTTTAAAAAAGAAAAAAGAGGGAAATAATATATAAGAATATAAACACATATTTTCTTACTTTTGTCAAATGAGGCACAGTAAGATAAATAAAAAACTGATGATTCAAAAAGTTAAACGTAGGGACCTGCCTGGTGGCATAGTGGTTAAGTTCGCGTGCTCTGCTTCGGCGGCCCAGGGTTCGCAGGTTTGGATCCCGGGCGTGGACCAATGCACTGCTTGTCAAGCCATGCTGTGGTGGCGTCCCATGTAAAGTAGAGGAAGATGGGCATGGATGTTAGCCCAGGGCCGGTCTTCCTCAGCAAAAAGAGGAGGATTGGCATCGGGTGTTAGCTCAGGGCTAATCTTCCTCACAAAAACAAACGAAAAAATTAAACATAGAGTTACCACATGACCCAGGAATTCCCCTCCTAGATATATACTGAAGATAAATGAAAACATATGTCCATACAAAAACTTGTACACAAATATTCATAGCAGCATTATTCATAGTTGCCTAAAGGTGGAAACAACCCAAATGACCATCAACTGATGAATGGAAAATTAAAATGTGGTATAAACATACAATGGAACATTATTCAGTCATAAAAAGGGATGAAGTACTGATACATGGATGCACCTCAAAAGTATTATGCTGAGTGAAAGAAGCTAGACATGAAGGCCTCATATTATATGACTCCACTTATATGAAATGTCCAGAATAGACAAATCTATAGAGACAGAAATTAGATTAGTGATTGTCTAGGGCTGGGACGTGGGGACATGGGAGGGAATAGGGAGTGACTGCTAATGGTTAAAGGGTTTCTTTATGGAGTGGTGAAAATGTTCTGGAATTAGTGATGATGGTTGTACAACTCTGTGAATATACTAAAAACCATTGAATTGTACCGTTTAAAGGGGTGAATTTTATGGTATGTGAAATATATCTCAATAAAGCTATTATAAAAACTAACTAATGAAAATGGTTACTAAAAGGGATAGGTGGTAAATAGGGTGGAAGGGATAGACATGAAAGCTAGATTCCTCTAAGTCTACCTCCTTCTATGGTTTTGACTTTTGAGCCATTTAATGTTTTAGATATCAAAAAAGTAAAATTAAATCAAAAGGAAAACAATTACAAACCTTAAAATTAAACAGAAAAAAGCAAATGAAGCTAAACATTTATCAAATTGATAATGTAGTCACACAGTTATTTCAACTAACTTATGAAAGCAGTCCTCTGACTCATTCTTAATGAGATATATTCAAAGACAGGAAGAGCAGCAAAAAAGTCATAAGCCTCACCCAGTAGGTTTATCAGTACTAGTAATATTATAGTTACAATTTGAGGGCCGGACTGGTGGCATAGTGGTTAAATTCTCACACTCTGCTTTGGCGGCCCAGGGTTCGCAGTTTTGGATCCGGGGCACAGGGCAATGCACTGCTCATCAAGCCATGCTGTGGAGGCATCCCATATACAAAATAGAGGATGATAGGCACAGATGTTAGCTTAAGGCCAGTCTTCCTCAGCAAAAAGAGGAAGATTGGCAATGGATGTGAGCTCATGGCCAGGCTTCCTCACAAAAAAAAATTATTATTATTAAAATTTGAAACTATTTTATGTATATCTATCTCATAAAGATAAAGCAAAAGAGTAAATATACTAATATTATCAGAAAAAAAGATTTATTGTGTAAGAAAAAGAGATATGGATACAAAATTCAAGACATAAAGCAAAGCTATAATGGTAAAGTTGAATTGAGAATGCCAATTTGAACTCATGATTTAAAAACAAAACAGAAAAATAAGAGTCATCATCATGGTGGCATGAGATGATCCTTTTGTCTCTCCCCTTCAATCTACAGTGAGTAAAACATCCATAACCCAAGAAAGGCTACATTGCACAACATACCAGGATGCCAGAGAGATCCACACATTTGTACATACAAAGGTGGGTGGATTGGAGCATGTAGAGGAGGCTAAACAGGGGAACAGCAGAGGCAATGCCTAGGATCCTTGATCCCCAGCTGCTGCAGCTGAGTCAGCCACCCCAGCCCCAGAGAACTAGGTGGGCAACAGCAGAGGTGCACATGTGACTCGATCCAGCCAGCTATGGGAGCACCTGTGGCCATGGGAAGCTCAAGGCTGGTAGCAGCGGTGGAGGTACCCACAGGACTCCTACATACCAATTGCAGTGGCACCTGCAGCCACAAGGTAACAGACAACAGCTGAGATGCTGCCCTGCGATCCCAGTTCCCTCCCCATTCTTCCCCTCCCCCTGCCATGGGGGCAGAGCTTCCAACCCAGGTGATCCCAGGTGTGGCTAAGGCGTCAGCCATCCCTGTGTCCCTGGTGGCAAAGCCAGGAACTGCAACACTGCAAGCAACAGCAAGGCATTGGTGACTCCCAGAAGTGCAAGTGGCAACAATGAGAGTACTGGCAACACCCAAATACAGGCAATGGAGGGAGGAAAGTGCAAATCCTCAAATATTACCAGAAGCAGCTCAAGTAAGAGAAACCAAAAACTAGCACTATAGCACCACCTACTGAAAAATGAAAGAAAGACTTCTAATCTCCAAGCAGTTGAAAAGTTTGAATCAAAGCAAACAAAAGCTATACCTAAATTTAAAACGTGTTTGCTACAACAAATGCACTGGCAGAGGGATAACTCAGCAAGCACCACAAAAAGCCACAGTACCATGACATCACAAAAAAGAAAACATTTCTCCAGAAACCAAATATAAAGTCATGGAAGATTGTGATGTAACTGATAAAGAATCCAAAATAGCTGTCATGAAGAAACTTAATGAGCTACAAGAAAGCTCAGAAAGGCAGTTCAATGAGCTCAAGAATAAAATCAATAAACAGAAGGAATA